AGGACAGAAATACCTAAGTATTAAAAAAAAACTGCATTTATTTAAAAGTCTACTCAACTGTCCTCATTCACAAAATGAAGATGTCAATAATATGCTTTCTGAAAGATGCATAAAGAAACTGCTATTCTTTATGAACCATAACTATTACCTCTTTTAACCACTCAAAAAGACCCATTTAGATGGTATGATGGAAAAATTACTTAAAGTACTGGCCCAAAGAATTTTCTTACAAAAAGGAAGAGAAGTGTAGCTCACAGGAGGTTAGGGCAAAATAGAAGGCCAGAATGAACTATGTAACAAATCCCAATATCAAAAACAAAAACAAAACCACCAAAAGAGCAGAGATTAATTCAGGAAGAATTCAAAAATTGAAATAGTTACAACCCTGAGCTAAAATGCAACTTTTACTCTAATGTCTAATGTTGGATTTCTATGAAAAAATATATAATATGTCTGCCCAGACATTTAGCACCCACACTGGATATGTTTTATGTGCTCTATTCTATTCTCTAAACAAAAATTATTTGAATGGTTCCAAATAAAATAATTTCCATTTTGAAAAACACAGAATTACTATAACCAAAATTGTGTTATTAAATCAATACTGATGTTAAAAAGTGAAAAGACAGCAGTCCCACGTCATTATTTTTAGTAGTACTGAAAATAAGACTAAAATGCAGAGACGAGGCTATGGTTTTCAACATTAGAAAAAAATATATATAAGGCAATAGCCACTACAGAAAACTACATACTGTCTTCTCTGTACAAAGTGTTATTTTAAGCCCACACATTTATACCCATCAAGATCAAGCAATACAAATTCAAGAAACAATTCAAATATTTCATTTTTAAATGAAAAACACTTAAAGTATTCTCAGTTCAGTCATTTGTAAGCACTTGCCTATAATATTCAGGGCTCTATTCCATATATTTGGTGACCTGGTAAAGGCAGTTTGGCTAAGCCCTAAACTTCCTCCAAAATCTCCTGACCAGGTAAATGGCATCCTAACATATAGTTTAACCTAGGATAGCAATGAAATAAATTTTCTTTCTTTTGTTTTACAGTACCTATTGATGTAGAGAAAAAAATATTACACCATTACCACTGGATAATAGGCACTGTTTGTGTTTTCCTTGACTTTTTTTTAGGACAAAATGAAAAAAAAAAAAATCAAAAGTGAATTAGGGAAAAGCGGTAAAGTTACTTTTCTCGTAAAGACTTGGCAGTTTAAGTTCTTCATAAATGAAAAACATTTGGTCAGCTGTCATGAATACTGGAGACCTTAATTTGAAAGTTCCATTATAATTAATGGGTGGGGCAAATTTAAAAAGTGGCAGCAGATTTCCTAGAAACTTGTATGGGAAGCTGCCTGACAACCAAAACAGAAGCCTGGCAGGTTGGAGGCTGATGAGGGCTCCAAAGTAACCTAGACATTAACAAAGCTTACCTCACAGATCAGCTCCAAGAATAAAACATCCTTTCCCCAAAACTTTAACCATCTCCTTAAGATGACCATTAAGAAATAGAAATGCTCAGGAAAATTAATGTCAAAAACTATGTATGGAATTACTACTTTGAAATGGGATTTTTAAAACACCATTCAAAATATAATATACAAACACGTACAGACAAATCCAAAAAACCCTCTAGATTCTCTTTAAAAGCTACTTCAAAGCACAAGCTTTCCCTTAAGTCTTTTACCTTATTTTAAATACTATAATTTTAACATAAAAGAATATAGTGCTCTCATTTTCTTCAACTCCGTTTTAGTCATTAAAATAGGCTCCAAAGCAAACGGTCACCCCGCAAGCCTGGGCCAGACTGAGCTTAAGAAGCAGTTTCTTATAAGAGAAAGATTATAAACAACAGTAACAACAAAAGCCACACAAAATATGGAGGTATATGTATCACTTCCAGAGGTATCCTTACTTAAGATCCATATTCTCCATCTGAAAATTATGAGGAAATGATTTTTTACGATAGCAAGAACAGGCAACTGAAATAAAAGGCCAGTTCTTCACAATATGTACTTTTTTCTGTACGACAAAAACTGTAACAGTGAGCTTTGTTTGTAACATGCAATGTGCATTTTATCATTTTGGATAAAACAACTACAGCCCCAGCAGTGGTTAAACTGCAGCTGTAAAGGAAATTGTCCAGAGATAAATGGTTTCCCTATGAGAAGGCTCCATTGCTATACTTCACCTCAGGACAATAAATCACATTAACTGCACCTTGTCCTCTGTCCAATGACATCATCAGTCTGACCACGTCTTGGGAACTGGGTGCAAAAACATACACTATTTAAGGCATGAAATCATATTACTGCTTTTTGTCCATCCAACCTCATGCTTCAGCTCTCTGAATCAGTTTTTCACCTGAGCATTCTCCTGAAAGATTTTTCCCTACTGCATTCAGGGCCTACCTAGCGGATGTGAAAGAGGGTGAATAGTGAGAACTAGTTGTTTTCAATTAGTTTGCATCTAGTCCTCTAAATCTGAAAATTTGTTATAAATTAAACTGAAGTCTAATATGCCTTCATATATTTACCACACTGGTTTAACTTGATTTTTAAGGCTAACACATTCAACATGCCTCCTCATACACTTCCCCTAGAAAGCAACACCTTTCACCTTTTAAAAACAAAACTCTTAGAGGAGATATCAGAAATCAAAATTATTGTTTTCTCTAAACAGTAAAAGTTAATTGGTTTTTTCATAGGCCAATTGTCCTAAGTCTAGATAAAACAAAATCGATTCTGACACCTTAAAGCAAGAGCCCGGCATGCTGAGCAAGTTCCAGGATCAGGGTAGAAACAATGCCTGTGTTTATCTTCTATTTTCTCTCATTTAACCATGATACTAACGCTCAAAGAAAACATAGCCCCCTTTCTGTTCTCCGCACTGCTACAATTAAAATAGGCAGGTCTACGTCAGTGATAGCTCAATATGATGGTCGGCCTCACTGTAAGTTGGTGCAGAAACTGGAAAAGCACTGTTGAGAAACTATCCAACTGTTGTCATCTGGACTTTTTAAATTACCTACCTACCCCATAGTTCCTGGAAAGGGGGGGGAAGGTACCGATTTTACAAATACTATTTCTCTTTACATAGCCTGAATGAGTTTAACTTGGGGAGAGGGAGACGATCACCACAACAAAGTCCTCAATTTGTACTAGACAAGCAGCTCTCATAAGCCTCTGCAAAATGGAAATAAGGGCCACATACTACAAACTGTAAGATAAACTTTTAGGAGAAAACAAGCCTCCACAGAGCTGATGCTTAGCTCAGGGCTGTTTTTATGCTGGAAGGTCCCAAGAGGATGTGTTTTGCCTGCGGAGGAGAGGACTCAAGTGGCAGTTGGTGGGGGAGTCATTTTGGTTATTAGTAAATAAATCAGGCAGGAGAGGACAAGGCCTAGGCAACTACTGGGGCAGTCCAGGCCCAGTTTTCTCCTTGTCTTCCCAGCACAGACTGGGTTTGATCTCAGAGCCCTGTGGATTGCCAAGGAGGAGGAGAGAGAGTGAGAGAGAGGGAAAAAAAAAATCATATCGAACCACAAAAGCACATGGGGCGAATGTAAAATATAAACACGGCGTTGGGCTGTGAGTGGCTGTTATTAAAGGTCTGAATTACTAAACATGAGAGGCGGGGAAAGCCAGGCGGCCATTTCAAGAATATAAACCTCCCTGAATTAGACATTATTCAAATGAGAAGCAAGTAGAGAGGACCCAGCACGCAGTGAGAAAGCACCACCACACACAGCCAGGAAGGGGATCTCAGTGTTTGGCCATCACCCCCGTTCCCCGCAGGTCAGGAGAAATCTAAAATATGATCAACTTTGTCGGGCCAGCCCTTTGAGAGCAGGAGGGCAATCCTTTACGGTTGAGTTCTCGGGTGGCCTATTGGAGCTCCCAGACCTCGGAACGAGAGGGCCCCCGGGGCCACCCGTGCGCGTGGTGGGTGGGGGTGTGTGCGGAGCAGCAACCAAACCCCGCGAGCACCTCCAACCCAACTGTCCCGCGACCCACGGCCGCGGGGGCTTCTCCAGATCCGCGAGGACCCCGGGATGCGGGCCCGGGACACCCCGACGACCCAAGCCATTTCCACGAAGGGGAACTTCCCCGAGGGCTCCTCCCACCCAGCCCAGCCTCCAAAGGGACCGGAGGACCCCAGCTCACACCCCGAAGGCCACCTCACGGGGCCCACGCCACGCTCTTCCCCCCCCCCCAACCACAGACACGGACTGGCTGGGGTCAGGCCGCTGCCCGGGGCACGAGCAGGGCGCGGCCGAGGGGCCCGGGCCGTGACCCCCCGGGCTCTGCCCCACGCGGATCCCACGCGCGGCCGCGGGCAGGGCGCCACCCCTGGGCGCACCCCGCGGCGATCGGCGTCCCCCCCCCGGCCGGAGCCCGCTCCGGCTTCCAATCCCGGGGGTGCCGCGCGGCTGTCCGGCCGCCGGGGTCCACTCCGGCCCCGCCGCGCACCGGCATTGTGCTCGCCGCCACCTCTGGCCCCTCCACGCCCCCCCTCGCAGCCCGTCCGGGTCTACCGCCCGCGCCCCGCCGCGCCCCGCCGGCCCAGCAGCTATGAATATGTAAAATGTCTTTATTGTCCTCTCCCGGTGCCCCGGCCCCTCCGCCCGCCGCGGACCCGCTCGGATTCGGGCACCGTGCGAGGAGGCGGCGGCGGCCGGCGGAGGAGGAGGGCCGGTGCCGGCGGGCGGGCCGGCGCGGCGGCGGGGTGGGCCGGGGGCAGGAGGAGCGCGCTGGCTCACAGCCCCCTTTGCCCCGGGTCTTCTTCCCCCTCCGCCCGGCCGCTCCGAGCTCCTTTCCCCCTCCGCTCGGCGCCCAGAGGGGGCTGTGTTCCCCGGCCCCCCATCTCCTCGCCGTTAATTATAATAATCCTGAGTACTAATAAATTATGCTAAGTCGTGGGGGGGGCGGCGGGAGCCGGGGGTTGAGTATGAATATGAATATGTAAAATGCTGTAATGATTACCTGCTGCTGCTGCCGCCGCGGCTGAACTCTCATCTTGACTCGCTGCTCCTCCGTCCGCCATTTTGAATATTTTAACCAAAATCGCCCGGTCGATAAACCCTCCCTCGCTCCCGCTCCCCTCCCCCTCCCGCCCCGACCGCCTCCTCCTCCTCCCTCCTCCGGGCACCCTCCCGTTCCTTCCTCTCCCTAAGGCGCGCGCCAGGGGGCGCACGAGGCCGGCGCTGCTGTCCGCCGGCCCCCTCGGAAGAGCTCCACCCCCTGCGCGCGCTGTGCGCACGCGCGTCCCGCCGCCGGGGCCCCTCGGGCAGCCGAAGCGTCCCCGGCCTGCCAGTCATGCCCTCCCTCCCCCCGCCCCCTCCCGCGTCGGCCGCGCGCACGCGCAGTGCCCTCCACGCGCCTGAAGCGCCGCGGAGCGCATGCGCCGCTCTCCGCCCCTCTCCCGGAGCGTCGCCTTCACCTCGAAGTGAAGCGCGTCAAGTGCCTGTTCGTGCCTTTGGAGGGTCCTCCCGTCCTCCGTGTTACCCCCCTCCCGCATTAGGCCGGGGCTTCCACGGCGGGGTGGTGAGGGGGGCAGCGCGCGCGGCGGCTGGCCGCGAGGGAGGCGCGGGCAGGCTCGGCGGGCGCCCCGCGCCCTCTCAGGGCTTCCCTCGCGGCTGCGTCCCGACAATGGAGGGGCCGCCCTCCCCCCCGAGGTGATTTCCGGCCCCGTGCGCAGGTGGGGGCGGAAACGCCGTCGGCGGGCGGGCGCGAGGCACCTGCCGGGCCACGCGCCGGCCTCCCGCTCGAAATTTGAATCGGCGCGAGTCCCCGCCCCGCGCCTCCGCCGGTGCTGCCCGGGCGGGGGCGGGCCCTGGCCGCGCTAATCGACCGGGGCTCGGCCCGCGGAGCCCCCGGGGAGCCGGCGTCCCCGCCCGCCGCTGTCCGTCCACCCGTCCGCGCCGGGAGCGAGCACCCATCCCGGGCGAGCTGCAAACCGACCTGATCAGAAAGGTGGAAGCGGGCAGCGGCCCCGCCGCGAGCGCGCTTGGCCGCGTGTCGCTCAGTAAATGGGATGTACGGGGAGGGGGGGGGAGTTCCCCGTGTGAACATCTTGCTAAGTGATGAGCCAAAATAGTGCCACAGAAAACAACTACAAAAAAACTGGATGAGGACCCAAATCTATTTTATTAATTCTTAACAAGTCCCAAGGTTTCCCTAAAATTGTTTTTTTTTCCAGGATAAAACCAAAAATGTGTAGTGGTAAGCAAAGTAAAATAAATAACTAAATAGAAAATAAATAAATCGGTCGTAGGCTGTCTCTAAGAGAGATACTACCAATATTTCAACTGGGTGAGGTTACAGGATCTACACACAACTAAATAAATAAACAGATCCCTGCCTGAAAGCAATTATTTTAACGGCTTAAAGTTTTAATTGTTATTCCTAGATTGCTTGGTGAATTCCTTAACACTGCACAAGTACAGTTGGTTAAACCTGTTGTCAGTTACAGTGATTTGAGGTGAGATTGATTTATTCCTGGTAATTAAGCCTTAGGGTGTGCACATAACCGCCTAAACCAAATAACTGGACCACCCTATAATTAGCTCAAAATACACAAAGCAACACAGTAAAGGAAATGCAAATTTTAACCATGTTACAATTAATATTTGAAAATACGGCACAAATTATTTTACTATAGGGGAAGTCTCAGAATATAATTTAAACATAAGTAAATAACACTGTTCCTGGCAGGCACAAATTTGAAGCCAATACCACCAACCTATTTTACTATTTAATCTTAGTTTGCCCTTTGATTCAAAAAGTAAATATGACCTTCATCAAGTCCTTGAAGCTAGTACATGTGCTATTCATTCTGCACTGTTTTGTTTCCATAAAAGAAAATTTGTGTGGGAAAAATTAGTTAACGAAGAATAATTCTGTGGTGGAGGTGGAGAGGGAGTTAAAATAGCCCATGTCAATCTTTTTCTTTCCATAATGGCAATATTTATGTTTGCATTTCTGTCCCCAGTGCCTAGCACAACTGTTTGGTTTAGTAGATGCTCATAAATGATTGAATTTTTTTAAAGCAAATAGAATTATATAATTTTTTTAATTGATGAAGTCATTCAAAAATATTAATATCTATGTTCTACCATGCTCTTTACTAGTTGCTGAGTATAAGGAAATAGCTAAGATAGTATTTTGAGTTTAGCAAACTTAGAGGTATCAACTTTTTTTTTTCATCCATGTGGACCTTGGAAGGTATGGACCGTATTAGCTCAGTTTTCCAGGATGGAGGAATTGAAGCATAAAGATTGTTCTATGTCACACCACTCTTCAATGTTGGAACTAAAATTCAAACATAGGCAAGGGACTGTTTTAACCATTCTTCTCTGTAATCTGCTGTGGGTCAGGCCATGTCTATATAATTAAGTGTGGAGGAGAAAATGTATTAACAAATAATGTTCTGATTTATGAGTAGGTATGGGCCTGTAACTAAATTGAAGAAGATTTTGTGGTCTTTCTGAAATGAATCAAATATATTTTTTTTTCCTTTCTTGCTTCTTAAAATACACATATAAGGACCAAAATTCCTTTATCACTCCTGGCCTGTGAAGTGCCAATACAATATGCTGTTAGGAGCAAGCAGATTAGATCTTGTCTCTACAGGCAGAAGGGAACTTGAGACAAAGAATGGCACCTTCAATTGACCTTAACCCTCCATGCTACCACACATAAGGACTGAGGAGTGAAGACTTTGGGAAATATGTTTTAATGGTAGGTTTAAGTGACTACGTTAAAACTATTTTTGTAAACATTTCATCTGTTCACGGAGATTAACGTTCTGATAGAGCAGAGCAATTTGCTTAAGCTTTTATGGGCGCATTTGGTAACTATTTTATGGCAGAGGTTTGCAAACTGTTTTGTGACACCCTCAAGGTAGCTTAAGGTCAGACTTAAACAAACAGAAAAACAAAAAAAAAAGACAAGACCTCTGCCTCCTCTTTACCAGAACAGCTTGTTCTACCTATGTTGGAACACAGGTGAGATATATTTGAAAACACTGGCAACTGAGAATGAGAGGCTGGGATGGCCAAACCAGGGCACCTCCCCCACCAATTTCTAGCCATCTCCCTGGTTCCAATGGCTTGCCCCAAAATATACACATACATATGTGTGTGTGTGTGTATATATATATATATTATTCCCTACCTCCTCCACCTCCACAAGATTCCCCAGGGTAACGGTCAATCAGATGCTTCTTCACCCAAACCTCCCACTAGGCACGGACCCACCAGCTCCCAACTCCCAGACCCCATGCCACCCGTTTCCAGTAGGAAGCAGCCAGAAATGAAGAACTGCTTCATCTATCTGTATAGGATTTACAACCTTGAAAGACTCCACCAGGCTGTTACATACTTGAAAATGCAGATGCTGTGGAGGTTTCAGGATAACGTGATCATGACCATTAGCTGTGAATCATTGGGATGTTCATCTCCCTTTTGCCATGTTTACAGAAGATATTCCAAGAAAGATCCTGATCCTTCCTTGAACATTTCGGTAGATCTCCTCATTGACTGTGAGGAGGCCTTCTATTAAGTCAATATATCTTGGTCAAATGTCTTTACATTCATAAAAGGATGGCAAGCCTACTGCCTGTAGCTGACTGATAGAATTTATGTTCTACCCTTAATGTACAATGCAGACTATTTCTACTTCTCAAAGAATGTACGCTGAGATCTTTACAATTCAGTACTCATCAAAAGGCTCAATAACATTTATGGAGAACTGTCTGTTAGATACATAGCTATTTTCCCCTCTAGTTCAGGGTCAGCAAATATACAGTACTGCTCTTGCTACTATTTTTTTCCAAGCCTCTGGCCAACTTTAATCCATAACCCCTTTCTTAAACTGAGCTTCGATTCTTGCTCAAACACAGTTCTTTCCAACCAGTGCTTCGGGCAGCCATTGGCATAGCATCAGCATTGGCATGCAACATGAAATCCATTTGCCGTTTCACCTCTGGATACTCTTAAAAGCCAAACTGTCAGAAAGCCATGAACTTGAAATTCATCATTTTGTCCCCTTGTAAGATTCTTTCCTAGAATTGCTCTCTGGACTTATGTCATCAGCCTACATTACAATCATAAGAAAACCTCTTAAAAATGCATCATATTTACTGTAGGGGTATTTTTGGAGTGCATACCTTCTGAGGGTTCTTTTCGAACCCTGAAGGGCAGAGGTTAAGTAACACACCTAAATTCACTCAGTTAAGTGGGAGATAGGAACCGAAGCAAAGATTGCCTGACTGCATATCCTTTCCCCCATTCTTTGTGCCCTCAGACCTGCTCCTGGCCATGGCTTCCACCTGCCTCCCCAGCCCGTCTTCCTCCTGCCTGAATGCAGCCAGTCCTTACCTTCTTTGCATGCATTGAGAAACCTATTCTCTGCTCTGTTGATTCAATTTTTTTCCCTTCCTCGGTTTTCCCTGCCTCTTCCTTTCCTTCCTCAGCTTTTTTTTTTTTTTTTTAGATAAACTCTCCCTGCATTTACTCATCAACTCACTACAATCTGAATCTGCTCCAATCGTTTTCCTGGAATTACTTTATTGAAAGCCACTGATGACCTCCTAACTGCCAAATCTGATGACATCTTCAGTCCTCATCTTGGCCCATCTCTCAGCAATTTGACAATGTTGATCACTCCTTTCTCCGTAAAATCCATCTCTGCCTCTGGCCTCAATGACAAATTGCCCTCCAATTTCTCTTCTTATCTCTCTAACCACATCTTGATTTTCCTCATTGGATCCTCCTCTTCTTCCCATCTGATATAGGTACTCTCCAAGGATATGCCTTTATCGCTCTCTTCATGTTGCAAGGCTGTTTGATGTCATTATCTATTGCCACAATTTCAATTGTTGTCTTCTGGAAGCCGACTCCTAAATCTACACCTTCAGTCCTTTCTTATTGTCAGATGCTACATGCATCTCTCTCACTAACGTATAGATTATAAAGGGCCTGGGCATAATCTGTTCTAAACATTAAAGAAACATATTTCTTGCACAAT